GGTGCAAGTCTGAATCAGGGCTGGTTTGCTCAGTTTACCTTTACTCTGAAGATGCAGCCCTTTTAGGTTCCAGCTTTGTTTGTTTTGATGAGTGGGATGTTAGGGTAGTGGCTCAGGCACTTCATTGCTGGCATATCCTGGGCTTTGCTTTGTGGACAACTTTCCCCATGATGTTGCCAAAACAGAGGCTCAGTTTCACAGTTATTTCTTCTCAACTGATAAATGCCCTGAGGATAAAAGCAACCTTTGAGTGCTAGGCTCCCCTCTCTGCTAGCAGGAAATGAAGCAACAATCTAAATTTTACCAACTCACAAAAGCCCCTCATCACCTGGCCCCTGGCTTTTATCCCAAACTACCCTGCTCACTGCCTCACTCTGAACCAGCGACACTATTCTCGTTGCTATCTTCACACAAGCACTTGTTATAGGATTTTTTTATTTGCCTGGAACCCTCCTACCAAGTTTCCAAATTTTTGAGTCATGCCAATATTTTCTGCAAACAACTTTTTTCTGAGGTTACAGAATCCATTTAATTGCACTTCTTGGACCCTTATCACTTCTTATATTGTGTATTTTCTATTTATTATCTCCCTTATTAAATAGACTCCTTAAAGACAGAGGTAGCCCCCAACTTATGATGTATTAGTTACCACAAACCGCACTTATGATCATCTGGTTTGTGTTTTCCGTACATCTCCTTAATCATTAGTAATATGTACTACGTACAGTGTTGCAGCATGTAATTTGCTAATGTTATCATTCTCAAATGTTCAAAGATTGGATTTATAAAGATACTGATAATAAAAGGCAATAATAATGAAAGCTGGAAAAAAAAAAAAAGAGGTAATTGACTTTTGTCAGAACCGATTTACGACGAAGTTGTTGGAACGGAACCCCATCGCAACTTGGGGACTACCTGTACATGCCTTCTCTTATCTGCCATCACACTTGGCATATAAAAGGTGCTCAGTAAGTATCTGCTTAATGTCAGTTTTTAACTTCAATGAGTTTCAGGTTTAACTTTATGCTCTCAAAGCTCCTCAGATGTATTTAGTTTAAAACATTTATTCTTAATTTGTGAATACAGTCAAGGCATGCAATTTACCTCAGAGGTAAAATAAGGATATGAGAAAGACCTATTTAAAAGAAGGCAAACATCAATGAAGAATGATTAATAATTAAAAATAATTCTGGCAAACTCTCTGAGACAGAAAATACAGGGTATTCTGGTATCACATTTCACTCAGATGGCGGTCTGGATATAGGTTTCATAATATCCAGCATCTGAATAAATAGTGTTTAAGTTTCTTTGAAAAAGCTAGAATAAAAATACAAGTACAATCATGTTAAGTCCACACACATTTATTAAAAGTCTATATGCTAGGTGCTATGTGCTGGGGACACAAACACTGAGATATTGTCCCTACTGTCAGAAAAAGCTCAGTACAGATGACTGGTAAGGAGTGGAGAGAGGAGATGGGAAAAGGATGGTAACATTTGAGTTAGACCTTTCAGCTAGAAAAGCCGGGGATGAACATTCTAACAACAGGAAAGAACATTATCACAGTACAATACAGTCTGGTATTACTACTACTTATGGAACAAGGTGGTGTGTGGATGCCTGAAGAGGCTCTAACACTAGGACCAGTGTGGTGAGGTCACAATGGCTGCGGAACTGGAAAGGAGGGAGAAATTCAGAAATGTTTAAAGACAGAATCAACTGGATGTAATGATGAAAAATGGGAGAGTTGACTAGAAAACACTATCAAGATTTTTCATTTGGATAATTAAGTTGGACAGGAATTAATTATGAAAGGAAAGATAAGAGATAACATGCTTTTATTGGGTAACAGTGGAGACGGGTAAAATTTTTTAACGTTGAGTTTGATACCTTTTTTGCAGGATATATCCATTCACATTAGGTTCTTGTCTGAGGATATATTTTCTACTTTTGTTTCGTGTTTCCACTTTCCTTAGTAGAAAATTTCCATACTCCACTAAACAAGATAAGGCACTCAGCTACTCCCACTTACATAAATAGCTTGCATTACTCAAGCAAACATTAAAAAGAAATCCTATAAGCAATTAAGTAACATCATCGACAGGAGTTCCCAAAAGTACAGATATAAAACAACTGTGCCCATATCATCCAAGCACAGAAAGGCCTCAGCTGTGACATTTGACCCTTCAATTCAGCTGATGTTTAATTTTGCTATGTGTTAGATAATGTGAAAGTACTAAGGAATATAGGGAGGACTTAAAATCACTTATTCACAAGTAGCTTACAACTAGTGGAGAAAATTAATAACTACTTTGGAAGATTGAATTTATTTTAAGCATGTGACAAAGGAAGAGAGTGCCATCAAAGTGCAAAGAAAGATGGGTCTTGCATTTACTTGACCAGCTACTTATCTAGTTGTTTTGGGCTGCAGACAGAACTGTTGAGATCAGAAAGTTTTATAGTAGTATGGCTGCCCAATGAGAAGTGAGGTGCTCCTGGGGTAAGCAGATCCCCTGTGGAATAGAAAACTTAGAATACCAGAAGACTAAGGAATGACTGAGATGCAGAGATTCCCCTTCTTTTGCTTATTTCCTTCTCTCTTCTCAGAGCTTCAGGAGTCACCAACTTCAGTCAGTCAGGTACCTGTACATTCAGGCATCCAGAAGTCCTTTACGGTACTGTCCTTATTATTAACTGCACAACTTGAAGTTCAGCAACACCAGACTCAGGGTAACTCTAATGAAGTGGCCAGGTCTCAATTTCCATCTTCGTTGAAGACGCCCAGTCTTAAATTAGTACTTATTTAATTAAAGCATGACTAACCAATAAAATAAACTACCCACACTATTAAGATATCTGTTAAATAATAAACAAATGGCTTTAGTGATTATCTTTAATCTGTTGCACTCATTTTGGAAATGGATATTTTACTGATTCCATAATCCTTTAAAAATCAGTCTTTTGTAAAGAGGAGTTAATGTTTACATTTTTATGAACTACAAAGAGGTTAAATTAAAAAAAAATCTATCCAATTTAGTACTCAAGTCTACAGAAAATAATAAATAACTGCTTTATTATTAAAAGTTAAGGAATTCCATAAAGCACACAAAGCAATTTATATTCAACTAAGAAAAGTTTGATACATATATTAAAAAATATGTAACATACAGGTTAGCCTCAATTTTAACATTTATACTCTATGTTAGAAGTTGTAGCTGTACATGTTTCACAACCTGAATTTATAAAATATATACATCCACTCTATTCAAATCCTTAAGTGTAAAGATTAATAAAATGCATAACATATATTCTTGAATAGTGAGAGAAAAATGGTATCAACTAAAAACAATTCATTTTAACTTGAACATGCACTTAATTCTTGCCTACTAGATAATTAACCTCAAATTCCATTCAATTACTTTACCTCTGACCTGACAATTAAGCCGCATTTATATAAACAAACTATGGTTAACTAAAGAGATTTGCATTTTCATGGTATGACAATTATCTACCAAACTCCTTAGGAATCCTGTTTCAGGCTTTAAGAGAGGCAAGATTATTCAGTCTTTCCATATGCCACAAAATCTGACAAGTGATGTAACACTTAATAAGTCAAAGCCCAGTAAATGTTGAAATCATGCTCTTGCCTTTGAAACGACAGCTTCAAATTATTATAGGAGCAACGCCTTCTCAAAATCCAGGCAATGTGTGCCAAGAAACAGAATAAGACCCAAATCTCCTTTTCCTAGTCAGCTAACTCTGCACTCAACCTGTAAAACTGGTGAAATTCTTGAGGTATGTTAAGGTACACCAGCTTCTATTCAGACATTCCATCCACGTATCAAATGGCTCTAGACACTATACTGTTTTATCAAGAAATAATTTTTCATAAAAAAATATTCATGTAATCATCCTGGAGATTCATCACCAAATACCAGTCCCAATACTAACATATGAAAACTGAAATTACAATTAACACCTCACTTATTAGGATACTAGATTCCCCAGTGAATTACAACTTCAACTTGAAAGACAGAGAACTAAGTCTGAGGAATATGTTTAGATCCTATCCATCGGCCTCTATTTAAGGATAATGATATGTATAAACCTATCTTTAAATTAATGTACAATATATTCTGAGAATATGAAAATTTCACACAAATCATTTAATATCCAACATCTCAAAATGGCTAAAAAATTAAATGAAAAAACCCTTTATCAAAACAAATTAACTTATTTGGGCAGTAATTAGGCTTTGGGAGATTTACCCATTGCTGTCGAGTGTGAGTCATAGCAACCGTATAGGAAGAGTGGAACTATCCCATAAGACTTCCAAGGCTATTGATATTTACGGAAGCAGACTGCCACATCTTTCTCCCACAGAGCGGCTGGTAGGTTACAACTGCTGACCTGTTAGCAGCCAAGCGCTTAACCACTGCGCCACCAGGGCTCCTTTTCGGGAGATTACTACTCCTGATAAAAGTAAAATAAATAAAGTTCCATTGATTTTAGTATTTAAGAACTAAATTAGTTAATAGCTCATTTATCAAGTAGTCAATTATTAGCCTAATTTAGCATCAACTGATGACGAGAAACTGGGTATCAGAAACCCCACGTATTTTATCTGTAGGAAGCAGACTTTTGTGCTTTTGTTTTTTATTTGTAATGCAATTCTAACGTTGTTCCTTCTCTGGATTCCCTGCCTCAAAAACAAATAAAGAATAATTTAGATTTGAAGTCACAGAGGAAAACTGATGAAAACCAGTACACTGACATCTTAGAAGAGATAATAAGGAAGAGAAAATAAATAAATAAATAAAGCAGAAATAAAAAACTCAAAGAACAAATAAAAAAAACCTCAATGACTGCAAAGAGGACCGGGAGCCGTTGGTACAGATTCAAACACCTTCTTCACAGATCTCAATCACACAAATGCATTAAAGGCATTAGTGGAACACAGAAGAGCACAGTAGCTGATTTTGATAACAATGACTTCTTGGAAAAGTATGGCTAAGCCTCAGTTCTTGAAAACTAAGTTATATACAAAATTAAACACGAATGAAAATTTAAGCATTCAGCTAAAATATGTACCAAAAAACTTACAGTGAGATCGAGAAATAGAAGCAACAGTAACCATAAAGGCTTAGAACTAGTGACACTGAATTCTTTATTTAAAAAAATTTGAACACACAGTACCTCCTCTTCTCTTCTATTTTTTGCAAGAAGTTTTAACAAGTTTTAAATATCTCAATTTTCAAAAACAATAGGCTTTTTTAAAAAATAAGACTTGATTACCAGAAACAAAAAAAATGTAGTTACATACCATTTCCATTATCACTACTCATTTCCATTGTTTGTCAATTCACCTGTGATGCAGTCTGGGAACAAATGAAGCAGTCACCAGATACCTGTTTTAGAATCTGAAGAAATTATTATCCAGCACAGAAATCTAATGATACATATTTTCTTGCATATATTTGAAATGTCAGAAGGGAAAAAGTAATAAACTATTCTAGTTACTTGATACCAAATATTTATATACCTAGTCAAAACAACGAGGCTTAAGATCTTTCTCTGGTCGAACTGTTGACTATACAAAAGCTATTTTCAGCATTTTCTTCTGGGGATAAAAAAATGCTTTATTTCCCTGCTAGATAAAATAAGGAATTATACATGTAAGTCCTTTAGAGGTGAATATTAATTCCTTAACAGCCATAAAACGTTATTATTTTAAAAAAAAATACAACTAAATCCAATCTCCCTTCAAAATCTATAATATTAACACCTAACCTGACATTTTCTTTTTTGAAAGGGCACCAGGTTCACGACCTAAACATGCATAAATAAAGAACTGAATGTATCGCTGTCTTAACAGAATTTGGCAAACCAGAAGAATGGCCTAAAATAAATAAATAAATAAATAAAAAGGAAGAGAGTACATATTATTCTAAATATGAAAGTATAATTCTGTAGACCTATGCAGCAAATAGTGCCCCACTGAGGGGATGCAGGGAAAAGGGAAGGAACATGTTCCTATGTACATTTTCTTGGTATTCTGGCTGTCAGGGAACAACACATTACAGAAAACATTCTTCTTATTACAAAGCAATTAATTGCCCTTTCTAAAGCAATGATTCCGGTAAACTTCTTATGTCTTTTAATAATGTAACTTATATTTAAAATTAATAATTAAATCTAAGTGCAAAAGAGTTTTCAGTAATTCCTAAATTCAAAAGGAGTAATGAACAAACTTTTGTCTGATTACAATTTCTGAATGGTTGGCACTCCTACATTTAGGATGTTTCGTCTTCTTTTCTTTAAACCATAAAAATGTACCAAAATTATTTGGTTTTGCATTACTTTCCTCTGCTTCATTTTAACCTATTTTATGATATCTGTATGTAGAGAGAGGTATGTTAAAATACTGTCATTTTTATTCTAAAAAACTCAGTTGAGTCTATGCGTGACCTATTAATCTATAGTAGAGCATTATTAATCCTTGCTTTGGTGAATAAATGCCACAGGTCATCTCTTTATAAAATGATTTTAGTAAGAAGACCAGCAGTCTGGACAGATTTTTTTCCCCACTGGAAAATGATCAAATCAATCAGTAGTTTAGAGCAATTATGTAAAATATGAACATACATAATTTCCAACTGCAAATTTCATATTAAAAAGAAGTCAAAAACTAAGAGTAGTTCAAAGCATTCCAAAAAACATTTTCTGTCTTGGTTAAACAGGCCAACTAATATGGCTGATAGAGACCACTGTGAGAACTTATGTATATCTAGTCAAGATAGAACAAAAATGTGTATAATTTTTAAAAAGTGGTAGTTGTTAACTAGTAGTTTTATAAACAATGCCCACAATTTGGTAGCTGGACACGGTTTGTTTTTTTCAAGTTATTTCTACAGCAGACGTATTTTTGAAGTCTACCCACCCCTGAGTTCAGCAATTATATACTTTTTTAGAGTGTAAAATTATATGCCCTTAGTTAACAACATGTACAAAGCTATAAAATGTCATCTATACAGAGATTAAAAACAATATTTTAAAAATATTCTTGCCAATTATTGATTGGTTTTGCTGGGGTACATATTTTGAATCTTTCAGCCAATTAGCTTTATTTTTAAGCCCAAATTGATTACTATATTCACTGCAGGATATTTCAAAAAGAGCTCAACAATAAGGCATTAGTAAAAATAACATTGTAGTAGAAACAGATTTTGCATATGTGAAAAGGTAATTTATAAAATACATTAATTGCTTTTTAAAAAGAGAACCTAGTTGCAGTACCATTACTTAGTACTGAGAATACTTAGGACCTTTCAACAAATTTTTCCCTGTAGAAAAACTTTACCTAGCTATAAGCAAAGTCTTTTAAATAACAACAACAACAACAACAAAAATACTAAATAAAACAAATCCCACCAGGAAAAAATGTATGATTGTGTGAGACAAATAAGCAAACATACCATGTTATAGGTGTACCTTTGCCTAAATTTTAAAATAAAAATGTCCACACTTTCGTTAAAACATTAAGCCTCTGTCAAAAATGTATTTCTTATTTTAGGGTACAGGATTGAAGGACAAGATGATGCTTACAAGTAAAGAAAATTTACAAGAAAAAAACTTGACAAAAGTTTCCAATTAAAGTATTGTAACATTCAAACTTGACTTAAAACATAACAAAAGAAACAAGATTGCAAACAAAAATGTTTATGGATTTTCCAAACATAAATAAATGAAATAGTGTTTAGGCAGTAGGGCTCATGCTGATGGCTAGCAGGAAGTAACAGAGTGTAATCTACTTGGAAAAATCTTCAATGTACAAATTACAAGCCCAAATTATGGACTGCAGCAATTCAATCATCACTGCCATTTTTTTTTAACTTCCAAAATAAAGCCTTGATTAAACCATTCACACCCTATATTACTCATACCTTTACTTCAGAGATTTGAGGAACTATATACAACAAATGAGTTTATTTCACCATAGGGATAACATATTGTACCTCTCTGCCAATGTTACTTGAAAACCTTCCATGTCAAAACAATTTGACAGCAGATATAAACAATTCAATAAATATGCAATGATCTTTCATTACAGTCCTTTAAGACGCATGTTAATTCATGCTGCTAACCGTAGGATCACAGTGCATAGAATCCAAATATAAACCGTTGGGGTGACTTTCAAAGTAATGTTGGATCCCTCACTTTATTTATAATCCCATTATAACCAATAAGTTCATTTCATAGGCCCTTATCATGCATTAACCATTTGGTGGCAGGAGTAAATGAAAACCTTTTCTTTTACAACGTCCATTGCCGGCAATGAACGTCCCAAAACCGCCAAGGAAGTCATTGTTATTGCACAATACGTGAGGACCTGGAACTTTTCCAAAAGCTTAAAAAAATAAAAATAAAAAATGGAATTATATTTGACATTTCCTGACACCTGCATTAATACTGTATGACTAATAAAAGCATGTCAGTTGCCTGGACTGAACCAGCGATCAACATGCGCCCAGAATGCACACGAGTAAAAATGCAGTAAAAGGAAGTAGTCTTCATTGCCTATAGGTCACTTCCAGTCAAAGGTTAAAGTTCAAAGACTGAATGATCAAAGTGCTCATTTTCTCAGTAGGACTATCTTCTGCTAGGAGGATGATAACAGTGGCATCAACAAGTATCATCTTTAAGAAAAGGAAAAAAAGGATAATTAAAAAGTCAAGCATGCATAAGTTAAATCTACAAGTTAGTCTACATGGTTCACATATCTGACTTGCCTCCCCCAATCCCTGCAAATAACTCCAGTCTGTGTCCAATTATACTATACAGTAGCAAACAAATCAAGTTTTACTCTTTCAGGGAAATGGCAGCTAACACAAACCTTAAAATGATGTATTATTAGTATGTTAGTTCTATTTAAAATAAATTAATATGAAAACCCACAAAACTTTTTTTTTTTTAAACTTCCTTTGCAGGGAGGTCTTAGTTGTTTTTATAGACGGTCAGAACAGAATACTCGTGTATTTCAAAATGTGTAACGATAGGTTAGTACATATTCAGGATTTATCCATCTTAAGAGAATTAGAATTCTTTTATGGGTAGCAATTTAAAATTCTAATGAGACAGAAAATAAATTTTCCTGATGAACTCTTGCCATACTATTCAACACTGACATATAGAATAACACAAATCATGTCTTTATAGATAGAGGAAATAACTCTTCACCAATGAAGTACAATCTCCAAATCAATCAATAAAAAGTAAATGTTATTAATTTCTCATTAGAAATTAAGTTTTCAGCATGGATAGATACATATGTAAAGGACTTCATTAAAAAAAAATCCCAGACAATTGTTTAGTACCTTCTGGTAGCCTCGGTACATAATATTTATGTAATACAGAAAACTTTTGGGGTTCATGGCTTATTTTACAAAATTTAATGTATTAAACATTATCTAAAGGATTTCTTTTGAGGACTGATTATTCTTCAGGAAGAAGTAAGACTGGTGGCAACTACCCCAGAATTGTCAAAGCTCTTAAGGAGAAAATTCTAAAAATATTTTACAAACTATCCCATGCCAGGATCAATATAATGCTAATAAAATCCCTATCCATAAAGACTCAATAAGAGCTAAAAACTAGTAAATCTGACTAATATACTGGGCAAACTAGTAGAATATTCCATGATTCTATACACTTTATGGGTGGAGCCCTGGCGGCACAGTGGTTAAGAGCTACAGCTGCTAACCAAATGGTTGGCCATTTGAATCCACCAGCCACTCCTTGGAAACCCTACTCTGTCCTATAGGGTCGCTATGTGTCCAGATCAACTCAACAGCAACGGGTTTATACCTTATGGGTAATCTAAAAAGTAAAATAAGACTAAATTAAAAAAATAAATCACATCTAATTCATTAGAATCCTTTTATTAAATGAATAAGAATACCTTTAAGAAGAAAACAAGTCAACTGTTCATAGTGGAAGTATTTAAGTTACCGTGGAATGTGGAATAGAGAGGATATTATGTGTCACAGGTGTAAAAAGTAACTTAAGACTATGAAGAGGTTCCTTAAAATAGTCACTTCTGAAATAATACTAAAACTAATCATACTTTATAAATTGTGAAATCTCTAAGCTTAAAGATGGCATTAAACTCCACCAAACAGAACATAATGTGTCAAACTACCAGGGATAAAAATATTAGGATGATACCACATGGCAACGTATACAAAAAAGAAAAAAGGGTAGCAGATAAAATTTGAACATAGCATTACCTAGTTAACTCCCAATAAGCTTATATCTCCAAAGACACACCATCTCTGATAGGTGGTACATAAACATAGGTCCCTGGGTGGCACAACTGGTTTGTGCTTGGCTATTAACCAAAAGGTTGGTGGTTCAAATCCACCCAGCCACACCAGGAAAGAAAGGCCGGGTGATTTACTTCTACAAGATTATAGCCATTGAAAACCCTATGGAATGCAGTTCTACTCTGACACACATGGGGTCACCATGAGAGGAATCAACTCGACGCCAACAAGGGTTTTGTTTTTACCATAAATATATCTTCTTCAGGTTATTAATACCGGAAGGTTTTCAGGACAATAGACTTTTACAGAAAGTGCTGCCAACCACCAAAACAATTAATGAAATCCATGTGAAGTTATTCTGCATAGCCCAATTCCCATCTTGAATCAGATGCTCTAAGAAATTTAGCCCATAACTGATATAACACTACCTGTCTTAAATATCCTATCTTTAGAGAAATAAGCTAACTATATAAGCTCTAAAGATGGAGTCCAATTATCTCTGATAGCTGGATCCACAATGACTTGCAGAATTACAAGTAACAAAATGAAATACTCTTAAATTGGTAATGTACAATCAAGTGTCTATAAGCAAATACTTAAGTGCATAGACAGGTACAAATCAAAGCCATATCCATTCTTTCTCTAAATGAGAGGGTCATAATCATAACTAAGAAGCAAAAAATCCATTTGTTAGCAGAAGGAACATAGTTTGTTAGCTAGGTGAAGAGAATTACTGGATATCAAAGCTGGCTCATCCAAAAAAAGTTAAGTTTTTGTTGGAGCAAACCCATTTTGGGTCAAGAAAAACAAAGACAGGTGTATAAAAGGTGATGAAAGAAAACAATATATACTTAATCTCTTAGCTAAATAATCAGATAAAAACAGAAAAGTATTTGTGGCAAGACTGCCTGGGGAAAAAAATCTCATAGTAACAATTTAAATTTCTTTCTGGAATTGCAAATGACCCTCCTAAAAATTAGTCTCAGATATACAAACTACCAGTTCCAAAGAGGTGACATCTACCATGGCTAACTTCACTGGGCTTCTGGGAAACACGAATGAAAAAACTATATTAGAGGACGGTCATTTAGTTTTCTCCAGAGTATAAGAACCATCACATTATACTGGAAAACATCTACCTGGATATTCCCAGGGACAGAAGACTAGAAGAAAGTGAACATAGTAACAGGTCAGTAGATACAAAGCTGGATGCTATCTCCAAGAAACATAGAAATAAATCTTTACAGTTTTGTCTCTCAAGAGTTTAGGGAATTTAAGTTTTACTTTGATGAAATCATTCAAGAAAGATCTGATCTAGCAAGAAATAGAGGGCAAAACATTACAGTGAGTAAAAGTCTGGACTCAGGAATTTAGAAAATGGTTTTGTAGTAATCCTAAAAGGTAGTATAGCACGAACAAAAAGGTTCACATCTAACTTGGCTAAATCTACAAATAGCAACTATACGCAGAGAGAAAAGAACTTTGATAATACAAATCTGAGACAATTTTATGCTTCTGTCCTCTCATAATCCTTGTAATTCTCCAAGAACTATCCAGCTGAACGGAACCAGAATATAGTCTACGTTTTTCAAAAAAAGATAACCTCTACTCCTCCCAAAATTACAGAGTTATCAGTTTATAGGACATGCCATCTAAACCCTATGCCAATTTATTTCCAATAAGCCTAGGTTTCTTTGGTCAACACTTGATAATAGCCTTAAGCTACAGTCTTATAACTGACTACTGTTCAATACTCTACCATCTTAAAAAGAAAGCTTTAGGAACCACAGTTCTGTTTTGTTTTGAACTGATCTGTACTCTCCTCTGGGGAAAGCAATTCTTTATGAAACTAAGTTGTATATGCTTAAATACTGACTGCAGGAAACAGATGGATCATATTATAATGGATTCTAGCTAGTTACTTAATTGAATTATTTTTATGGTCTCATGAGTAATTAATAATGTCTATTTTGTATCTTTTCCAAAAACAATTATTACTGCTGTTCTGTGACATAGAACATTGAGGTCTCAATCACTCATTCATGCACTGAACTGAACGCAGATCCCTTTTTTTTTCTTTTTCTTAAAATTGTGCTTTAAGCTAAAGTTTACAGTTCAAGTCAGTTTCTCATACAAAAATTTATACACACATTGCTATGTTCTTTGTTCTGCTTCTTCAGTAAAGTTTTACTTATCCGGGGCCTCTTCTCTTTCCATATGAAGCTGGTGATTTGTTTCTCCATCTCATTAAAAAATGCTGGTAGAATTTGGATTGAGATTGCATTGTATCTGTAGATCGGTTTGGGAAGAACTGACATTTTCACAATGCCGAGTCTTCCTATCCATGAACAAAGTACGTTTTTCCACTTATGTAGTCTCTTTTGTAATTTTCTTTGTATAGGTCTTTTATGTCTCTGGTTAGATTTATTCCTAAGTATTTTATATTCTTGGGGGCTATTGCAAATGCTATTGATTTGGTAATTTTCTCTTGGAAGCTCTCTTTGTTGCTGTAGAGGAATCCAACTGATTTTTGTATGTTTATCTTATATCCTGATACTTTGCTGAAATCCTCTATTAGTTTCAGTAGTTTTCCTGTGGATTCTTTGGGGTTTTCTGTGTATAAGATCGTATCATCTGCAAATAGAGATACATTTACTTCTTCCTTACCCATCTGGATGCCTTTATTTCTTTTTCTAGCCTAATTGCTCTGGCTAGGACCTCCAGCACAATGTTGAATTAAGTGTGGTGATAAAGGGCATCCTTGTCTGGTTTCTGCTCTCAAGGGAAATGCTTTCAGACTCTCTCCATTTAGGATGATGTTGGCTGTTGGCTTTGTATAAATGCCATTTATTATGTTGAGGAAGTCGCCTTCTATTCCTATTTTGCTGAGAGTTTTTTTATCACGAATGGGTGCCAGACTTTGTCAAATGTCTTTTCTGCATCAACTGATAAGATCATACGGTTCTTGTCTTTTATTTATGTGATGGATTACACCGATTGTTTTTCTAATGTTGAACCATCTCCGCATACCTGGTATGAATTCCACTGGGTCATGGTGAATTATTTTTTTGATATGTTGTTGAATTCCATTGGCTAGAATTTTGTTGAGGACTTTTGCATCTACGTTCATGAGGAATATTGGTCTTTAATTTTCTTTTTTTTGTGATGTCTTTACCTGGTTTTGGTATCAGGGCTATGCTGGCTTCACAGAAAGAGTTTGGGAGTATTCCATCCTTTTCTATGCTCTGAAATACCTGTAGTAGTAGTGGTGTTAACTCTTCTCTGAAAGTCTGGTACAATTCTCCAGTGTAACCATCAGGGCCAGGGCTTTTTTTGTTGTTGTTGAGAGTTTTTTAATTACCTTTTCAATCTCT